ACAAATTTTAGTGTGGGTAATTTCAGATACATCGGAATCCTTACATCCTCAAACTTTCGATCCATAAAACAGAATAGGCTTCATCGTTGGTTCAAATAAATAGAATTATAAATCTGGTCCTATGTACGAATTATTTTTTAAAGAGCTTCGGACTTTACCTGCCTCTTAATTTAATGTGTAAATTGCCATTGACCACTTGCCTCTAGAACTAATAATCAACCCGAGATAACTATAGTAAGATACGATATCTACATTCTACTTATTATATGACCATTTCTCATTAAGAATACCGCTTCTTCTAAATACCACAACTTTGTTTTTAGTAAGGTTTACCTCTAAGTCCCAACTATTACAATAAATTTCCAGAGCATTTAACATACATTGTAACTTGAATGGTGAATCAGAAAACAATATTCTATCATCCGTATATTTTAATTTGAAGTGAAATTGAAGTGTCTCTTCGTGAACACAGTGAGAAAATAATGACGTCACGTATGAAAAAAGCACTGTTAAATTATTGCACATAATATGTTTATATTTTTCAGCTGCATTTGAAGCCAAAATGGCAGACGAAGGTAAGTTATTTATTGCATCACTAGAGTACTTGGATTTCATTAACATTATAAACTTTTATCTTCGCTGGCTGACAATATTGTTAATGTAAATACTAATTGAAATATATAATTATTTATATTATTAAGTGGTACCGTTAATTACTGTAATTATCAAATATAAAGTCAGGTTAAATAAAATGCATTATAATATACAGTATATAAATATATATATAGGCATGATAAATATATAATTTCTTTTGAGTTTGGTTTAATTTCTTTTTGGTCTCAGAGGCCAACTTACAGCGTATCCTCGGCCTGTAGCCAGGCCACGTGACAAACCACGTGACTGTAGGTTCGATATTTCCATCACCACGTGAAACGTCTACCTGAGAATTTGGTCGATAATCTTTGAATTTATTTGTGACTGTGTTGATAAAATTTGAAACTGCTGGTTTGAGGATCGAGGACAAAGTCTTTCCCTAACAATTTCCATCAATTTTAAAATTTACGTTTATCAGAATATATTCTAGGCAGTAGGATCAGTTTGCTATAAAGCCAAAACTTTTTGTGGATATTATAATACTCAAGTACACATAACACTGATTTGGTGATTGATATTTTACATATTATCATACAATCTAGATATTCTGTTTGATTTAAGGTCTCGCTGAGATTGTTCTGGAAGCAATGGAATTGAACGGAATTGAATTCGATTATTAGGGTTACGCCGATATGACACCTCTGGACGTTCTCCGCTAACCGCTAGGCTTACAGACTTTATCTTGAACCTTAGTTATATCTTAATACATGAGAAGGCAAAAAGTTTAATTATGAGAAACGGTGGCAATTATCATCCTCAACTTTTTTGATTTAAATAATTAATTTAACTCTTTCAATATTTAAGTGCATTGCGACATAAATCGGACTGGTGGCACAGGTCTATAATTATGTCCTTTGAAACAAAATATGAAACAGCATGTCCCTCGCATGGAACACCCATGTCCGAGAATACATGTTTTGTTGTCATTATTTTCGATTGTTCTGGATATAATTATGCCTAATTATGGTGATTTATTATAATCAGTGCATTGAATTTGAAACTAATGTCAATTTTTGTTTGGGATGAAAGGTAATAAATATATATCTTCTAAAATGAGTCGTCTTGTGTTTCGCAATATTTTGGACTTATGTTTATTGGACCATTGAACTACGCATATCAGGTAACGATTGTTCTGACTTATTATTAATACAGAAAATTAGTATTTATATCATCATCGTCATGATGTATCAAATAAACTGTTGATTAATTTATACTCGAATATAACCTCGAATTGAAGTCCAGTGGACTTAATCTCGAGATGAAGCCCATCTCGATATGAAGGCAAACAGTTATATAATCACGAGAAACGGGGACAATTATCACCCTCACTTTTTTGATTTAAATAATTGATTTAATTGTTTCAATATTTCAAGTACATTACGACATAAATCGGACTGGTGGCACAGGTTAATAATTGTCGTAATATGAAACAAAATATGAAACAGCATGTCCCTCGCATGGAATGCCGATGCCCGAGATTATATGTTTTGGTGTCATTATCGATTGTTCTGGATATAATTAATTATTGTGATTTATTGCAATCATAATCAGTGCATTGAATTTGAAACTAATGTCAATTTTTGTTTGGGATGAAAGGTAATAAATATTTATCTTCTAAAGTGAGTCGTTTTGTGTTTCGCAATATTTTAGATTTATGTTTATTGGACATGAAACGCACTAGTTTAAGTTCTTAGTTCACACCGAACTACGCGCACCAGGTAACGACAGTTCTGACTTACTATTAATAGGCCTACAGATAATTAGTATTTATATCACCACCGTCATTATGTATCAAAGAAAATGTTGATTAACTTATACCATTTAAAACAGATATACATATATGGTAGGTTATGGTAGGTTAATAATATTATTATCTTATTCATTATTGGTATTCACCACTCCCAGACTAATATTATAAAGCGTATGCAGTACTTTTTTTTTGGTATCGATAACATTCCTTTATCAATAAGTTGTATCTTAATCGAAGTCCATGTAATCAAGGCTTATAAGTGCTTGATTTTTTGGCAAACTATAATAAGATGCAAGTTCTTTCACTTTGATGCGAATATTTATTATCATTATAATAAGTATGATGATTATAATGATGACGATGATTATTATGGTTATGATAATAATGATGAGATGCCGATAATGATGATAATGGGGACGATGATGCCAATGATTACGATGGTAGATTATTATTATTATAGTATGTTATCATCATCATGCTCATGCTTAGGCCTAATTCAAAGTTTTTAAACTAATCCAAAAAAATATTAAAATAAAATAAAATAATCCAAAATATTATCATTACACATTTTATATAGTATGTGTTTTCTATATATAACTATATTTAAGCCTAGGCCTATCACCATCACATTATTATTATTATTATTATTATTATTATTATTATTATTATTATTATTATTATTATTATTATTATTATTATTATTATTATTATTAGGGTATTATTATTATTATTATTACCATTATTATTATTATTATTATTATTATTATTATTATTATTATTATTATCATTATCATCATAATCATTAACATCATCACCACCATCATCAACAGCACAATTATTATTATTATTATTATTATTATTATTATTATTATTATTATTATTATTATTTCTAAAGCGCTTAAACCAGTTACAGCTAGGTTAAATTCAAAACTACCGTGATATGCATGAACAAGTTTGCTTTCAGTCGCAGTGAACTTGGCTTTCTTTTTTTTTTCTCTCTCTCTTTTTCCCACTTAATTTCCTTCCAATTATATTGGTTTTCCGTGTTTTTTTTCACTTTATATATTTTAGCGAGTTTTCTTTTTGTTGCAATTTCAACTTCATTTCTCATTTAGGCAATGGGGAAAACCCCTATGTTATGTTGTTCAAACAGACATAGTAAGTCCAGTTGTTATTATTATTATTATTATTATTATTATTATTATTATTATTATTATTATTATTATTATTATTATTATTATTATTATTATTATTAGGCCTATTATTGTTGCTATTTTTCCTGTTATTAAAGAATATTTCTCCATACGACAAGCATCGGTTTGTCAATTTCTTTTGACAGTTTTATCAAGCAAATACCTCTATCGAAATGTATGTAATGAATATGAAAACGATCACATTCCGCGTAGATTTACAAACAACGTCGGGTCTACAATATTACAAATCGGATTGTTTTAACCCGATTAGTGAAATCATTATTTATGATTGATATTCGACAAGTGAGAGCAGCACGGCCACAGCGGCTGCAAGTGAAGGTCTGTTCCTAAGGATTTGTGATGCAAAGTTACGGCTCTTCCTTCTTTTCCTTTTATCATCAAGGGCCTACCTACGTGCCTTCTCAAAGAAAATATCCTGGTGGATGTAATAATAATAATAATAATAATAATAATAATAATAATAATAATAATAATAATATAACAATAACAATAACAATAATAATAATAATAATAATAATAATAATAATAACTATTATTATTATTATCGGCACTGGTTCTAACGGCACGCTCGCCTATGGTTCCGGTGGTGGAGCATGTCTTCTCGGATAAGGACTATAAACCGTAGGCCCAGTGTACACAATTGGCTCGTGTGCACTTTAAAGAACCCAGTACACCATTCGAGAAGAGTAGGGGTTACCCCGGTGTACTGGTCCATTTCCAGTCCCCTGTCCGGCCACAGAAAGAGCGTTTATGTCGCGGCCCATGTCAGGTATCCATCCTACCTGCGAATCCTTCTACCACACGTAAGCTAGATCATACACACTAGCTACGTAGTGACTCGATAAGATTATTATTATTATTATTATTATTATTATTATTATTATTATTATTATTATTATTATTATTATTATTATTATTATTATTATTGAGACTAATACATATCACATATCATAGAAACAATCCCAAATTTGCCTAGCTTTAAATGCTCATTGTTAAAGCACATGACCAGCAGTAGCAATACTAATTCTTTTAGTAACAGCACTAACCCCTCGCAATTATAGAAAATTATTACAGAACAAAAGGGCCAGTTGGTATGTATCGATTGGTATAGAATTTGGTAAATAGGTCTAATGCTGTGTATATTATAACAATCATTAGGCCTATAAAGCAACAAAGTACTGAGCTATTATAATCAATGTCATTATGCAGTGTACATGCACCATGACTAAGTATCAGTTCATACAGTAAATCTACATTGATTTCTTAAAATTGACGTACTGAGGGACTAATCAGAATCCAATTTCTAGGCCTACATGTGCATTGTATTATCGATTGTTACACCCAAACTACATTGATTCTTTAAATTTAGTATATAATCGTTACCTATTAGCATTATAATTGACCAAAGTTTATACGTTAACAAGTTGAGGATTAAAACACCAGTGATTTGATATTTTGTTCTCACTCTCTCCCGACGGTAGTTGGGGATTAAACTCATATTACAAGGAAATATACCTTCATATAAAGTTTGGTCACGTATGTATTGCTTTTATTTATAAGTTTTCCAAAAAAAATGTTCGGTAAATTTGTAGTTTGTATATTGTTATGGGCCGGCTATATGTCCTTAAAGTATTGTACAAATACCTCGAAACCTCATGCTTGTGAAACGGAGAGTTCGGCATTTTTCGGACTCGACATCACGGTCATTGTACATTTGGTGTTCTCCGGGCCGATATTCCCAGTAGGTGGAGGGCAAAATCGCTTGTAAATTTGGCCTAATTAGCGTAAACAACATCAGATTTAGGCTTGTGGAGAACCGGATTCACAGTGGTAAAAATTCATGTGACACAGGCATAGTTTGGCCTTTTTGCAGAAAGAAGTTCGTAGCCAGGCAATATTGTGCAACCAGCTTGGTAGATGAGCCATAAACGAAACACGTAGCACTTGTCCTTTTAGAATTAACATATTATTAACTACATAACGGTAATACAAACTCAGATACGTAAAATGTTGACTTTAGAAACAATAAAATATATTGAAACGAATATTTCGGCTACTCCTGTAGTCTTTGTCAGCGCAGATTTTGTCAAGCGTTGACAATACAGTAGTAGCCGAAGTATTCGTTTCAATAAAATGTTTCAACATTTTACGTAGACCTATTTAAGTTTGTATTACCGTTACGCAGTACTATATTCTATATAATATATATAATAATAATAATAATATAGATATATATATCGGTACTCGGATTTGGATTTCATTACGAATATTTTTATTATTAATCATATTATTGCAGTATTTTCGACAGTTTGAGTTAATAGTCAAGACGTAACGAGATGAAACAATTCGTTGTCGTACTCGCCATTTTGGCCTGCTTAGCTCTCACAGAGGCTGCTCCAGCAGGTAAAAAAACAAATATACAACCCTGTGGTGGTAGTTAACCTTAGGAGTGTGGTGGTAATGAGTACTAATGATAGTGATCATCATGGTGGTGATGGCGATGAGGATGATTGTGATAATAAGGAGGGTGACGATGACAATGATGGTAAGAATGATGATAACTAAATATACTAATAGTGAATATGATGATGATGATGATGATGATGATGATGATGATCATGATGATGATCATGATGATGGTGGTGATGGTGATAATGATTTTGTTGATGATAACAACGATGATGATGGTGATGAAAATGCTGACGATGATGATTCATGCTGAATGATGATGATGTTAATGATGATGACGACGAATTTTAGTGTAACTCGTTTTTCTATCTTAAAATTTAAGTAAAGTTAAGACATAGTGTGAGAAGAAAAAATGACGGGAAGATGGGGAGAGATGAATGGGAATTTCTTTGTTTCCTTTTCTTTTTCTTGCTCTCTCTAAAAGGAATTATTTTATAAAAAATGTAAGCCTTTTCTTATCTATCTATCGATTTATCTATCTATCGATTTATATATCTATCGATTTATCGATTTATCTATCTATCTATCTATATATCTATCTATCTATCTATCTATCTATCTACCTACCTACCTACCTACCTACCTACCTACCTACCTGCCTGTCTGTCAATCTATCTCTCTATCTCTCTATCTCTCTCTATATATATATATATATATATATATATATATATCTATATCTATATCTATATCTATATCTATATCTATATCTATATCTATCTATCTATCTATCTATCTATTTATCTATTATTTATTTTATATTATTTCTTATTTATTAGGCCTAATTTTTTTTTGTTTCGAAAATCAGAGTTTTCTTATTTTGGTGTGCTCTATTTCTCTGTTGTCTTTGTTATAAATAAATAATTTAAAAAATGACGAAGGCGATGATATGATTCATGATAATGTTTTTGATAGAGGTGAATACGGTGATTATGATGATGATGTTTCTGTGGATGATTAAGATGATAATGGTGATGAAAATAGGTACGTCCTGATAATGATGATGTATATTACCGAAAACAGGCAACAGTTTTATGTTCGACTGACTCATAAATGTCTTTCTCTTCAGATATAAAGAGATCTAAGCTACTGGCTGTATTGGGTAAGTCATAATTTCTCGAAACTCGAAATAATGTACTAATCTATTTTTCCCTCTTACATAACGATGTACTAATCAAACCTACACGACAGTCTAAAATATATGCAGCCTACAATGTTTTTCTCAAATAAATTAGTGCAATCGGTGCCATAATCATATAATTAATTATTTAAATTTTCTAACACAATTATGATCTAGTATAATGTCAAGTTAAATTACCTAAAAATAGATGGAATTCTACAATTAGTATCATCGAATAAAATTAAAGTTGAAAAGTGTATACTTCATTTAGTAAAAAACCTTTTCCATTATCGAGTACAGTATTTGAATAGTGATTAACTGCCATTTTCCATGAATATCAAATAACCTAAATCATTAATTCATCTAAAAATGTATTTACTTATTAATAAACACTGTGCTTTTCGTATAATTGTTAGAGGTAAATCACTTATTTCTTTACCCAAAATTAAATATATAAACCCGTTATCATAATACAGATTTTCCTGACTCGACGATAAAGGCTGATTCTGGAACAGATACTCAGATACCTTTTATTCGTCCATACACATACATACAAAGATTTGTTTTCCGCTGGCAAATAAATATAATAAAAAACCTATATTTATTGTAATTATAATTCTGCTTATTAATAGTTTTAGTCGTAACATGTATGATATAGGCCTACCTGCTGTGCCCATCACCCTGTAACCCTCGAATTAAACGTGTGCATGACATCGGGCAAGTAAATAGTTCCTTGGCGACATGTTTCCTTCGTACCATCATCAGACTACTAAAGCTAGGCCCCGTGATATACATTTTTTTTTGCCTCATATCGTAAGCAGAACGTAAAAAACCCATCAAACATAAAATATGCCATAAAACATCTAAAACGCCGAAACTGGATCTACTCGGACCCAGCCCCCTGGGGAAGTAGGTCAAGAACAAGAAGTTTTAGCCAGAATCTTGTTACGCAACAGTTGTGTGATGCTCGGTTCTAAAGGTAATGGCAATGGTTGTGCACTTTTATAGCGCATAAACATTCGCCTCTATGCGCTTTCCCGGCCAACAGAAAAGGACAAAATCGTAATGTATCGTTGAAAACGGAAAAGAAAGCGCTAGAAGAAAAACAACACAAACAGGCCCCTGTCATAAAGAAAAAGTGAAAAAATGAACACAAAAAACATGAGAGTTGAAAAAAATATAGAGATTAAGAATGATTTATGACGGCGCTTATAAAGATCATAAAATTAGGAGACTCTTGGGCAGATTGCGGTAGTGAATTCCAGAGCTTGGGGCTAATAACAGAAAAGAACTTCTCCATAAGTCTTCAAATGAGAAATATTCACATGAAGAGTTGTAGAAGATGTGGTGGACCTTAAAGCCAGAAAAAACCCCCATTTGTTAATAAAAATTTTGTACAACTGATTTTTCTAAGACACAAAGGTCTATTTTAACAAAACTCGGGAACGGTAAATGAGATACAATTTTTTGAATATTCAAAAACTAAGGGAAAAAGGGGGCGTATTCACCCTCCCCGCCCTAAGCATTTAAATATTTGAAAAAAATGCCATTTTTCTGAACGGAATATGATGAGTTGCAGCAAGTTTTATAATGTCAAATAGCGTTGTGTGGTTGGAGGTTTAAATTTTATTATGTAATTTATGCCGTGATCTATAAAAATAAAACCATGATGGTAATAATAATAATAATAATAATAATAATAATAATAATAATAATAATAATAATAATAATAATAATAATAATAATAATAATAATAAGGTAAGAACTTATATAGCGCCATTTAATAAACCGAAGTAATTATCAGTGGCGCGCTTCATGTTATTGTTGGAGTAAGTGCGGTTTGAGTGATTTTTTAAATAAAGCAATTGATGTTGATTTTTAATGTGAAGTGGTAGTGCGTTCCAGAGTGTGGCTGCAGCAAATGAAAATTATCTGTGTCCGAAGGTCTTAGTGTTGGTGCGAGGGACAGAAATTAAATTGAGATCAGATGAACGTAGGGAACGGCCAGGCACATATTTGGGAAGAAGTTGATTAATGTATGCGGGTTGATTGAGAGTCGGTGACTTATAAGTCAGTAAAAAGATTTTATATTGAATTCTGGCATCAATTTACAACCAACGAAGTTCTCGTAAAATGGGGGTTATATGAGTGCGTCTGTTAGTAAATGTTAGTATGCGTGCAGCAGAGTTTTGTAGTCGTTGAAGCCTTTTAATTTGGATTTTAGGAATGTTAAATAAAAGAGAGTTGCAATAGTCAAGTCGGGAGAAAATGAAAGCGTGAATAATCAGAGGCGTAGTTCGTTTTGATAAGTATTTTCTGATAAGTGCTATATTACGTAGATGAAAGTTAACAGATTACCTATAGGCGATTTTTTCATTACAAAACACACAGTAGTTGCTGACTGAATGCCTAGGCCTAGTGTAAGCTAGGTAGAACCAGACCCGGTTTGACAGCACTAGGCCTACACACCCGAAACCGAAGCTACTCTAACGTGTAAAATTCCCGGCCCTTCCGAGGCCTGTTACATCTACGGGTAAATTTTAGATATGTCTCGGCACTACGGGGACACAACTATGTGTACATCCCCGGCTAGTGCCCTATGGCCCGGGTCCGTGGGCCCGGGACTAAAATGGACAAGTGCATAACAACCAACTACATCTTGTGTATCTCATCTTTTCTCACTTTTACGTAAATGAACCATGCGTCTTACAGTACGGATTGTGACGCTTCTCACTGTAGTTCCGCTGCCTCTGGATAAGTACTGTACCGTACATTCGAATCGAATATTTTTATGATAAATTTTATGTCTATATAATGTCAACGTTTTATACACATCTAGGTGTGTATAAGAGACAGGTGTATACTTCATTTAGTAAAAAACCTTTTCCATTATCGAGTACAGTATTTGAATAGTGATTAACTGCCATTTTCCATGAATATCAAATAACCTAAATCATTAATTCATCTAAAAATGTATTTACTTATTAATAAACACTGTGCTTTTCGTATAATTGTTAGAGGTAAATCACTTATTTCTTTACCCAAAATTAAATATATAAACCCGTTATCATAATACAGATTTTCCTGACTCGACGATAAAGGCTGATTCTGGAACAGATACTCAGATACCTTTTATTCGTCCATACACATACATACAAAGATTTGTTTTCCGCTGGCAAATAAA